GGCCTCGCCCCGCGCCCGCCGGCCGGGCCCAGCCGCGCCGCACCGGCACCGGCCCCGCCGCTCCCCCACCCCGGCAGCTCCCTCCGCCGGCCCCGCCCCGGCCCCGCCGCTCCCCCTCTCCCGGAAAGGGCAGCGCCCCGCGGGCGCCTCCCCCTGCCCGGACCCCCGGCAGCCCCGGCTCGGACCGGCACAGCCCCGCCGCCGGCTGAATGCCCGGCCCCGCCGCCCGAGTGCCTCTGCCCGCATCTCCAGCGCCTGGAGTATCCCCAGCCCTTAGCCCTCATCATGGCAAAGCCTGCCCGTAGGTCCGGCCCCGAATGGGTCCGGGAGGTGAGAGCCTGGACCTGGGTGTACAGAGGTGCTGTGGGGCCGGGGCAGGAGCGTGGGGACACATAGACATAGAGACGCAGAGACACAGACACGTGGGGACATAGAGACACAGGATCACGGGGACTCAAGGACGTAGGGACGCAGGGACATAGGCTACCAGGCTTCCACCCAAGGCAGCCTGAGGAAGGGAAGAGGGCAGCTGCTGGGGCTGCTCCCCCTGGCACCTGGAGCCCACTGGGCTGAACCCATGGGGAAAGCCTCTGAGGAGCCGCACAACCTGGCCAAGCACCAAGGTCTGTGCGTGGACCTCACTCTCCCCCTCCATTTGCTGCCTATCAGTGTTCAGATGCAGCACGTCCTGATCATCCCCTGTCATGGGGTACAGGGAGCACATTGCCAGCAATCCCAGCAGCGCCTAGAGGCCCAAGGGGAGGGAAAAGGGCTTTTTGCTGCTTTGCAGGGTGTCTCCAGGGAGAGTGATGGCACGGAGGCAGCTGTCTCTTTACAGCAGTCTCAGACCCTCTCTGCTGGCTGCGTTTCAGCCTGCCAGGCTCACCTCAGCACGGTTGCTGCTGGAGGAGCCAAGCACTTGGATGAAGCCTGGCCCACGGTGCACACACTGCAGCACAGAGTGAGGGAGAGTCTGTTTTATCCCAGGAAACGCAGCCAACTTTCCAACTCCATCTTGCATAGTGGCAAGGGGGGTCAGCTTAGAGCTGGGAAGAGCCTGGGTTGCTGGTGCATGAAGCCCTGGGAATATGCTGTGCGAGGAAGGCATTGGGCAGCCCAGGGGAGCAGAGGCAGGCCCTCTGCAAGGTGCATGTATTAGCACAGGTAACACGACTTAAATGCCACCTAACCTTGAGATGCTCCTGACAGATCCCCTCCACAAATACCCGGCTGGGGGAGGGGATCTGCCTGCATCCCAGGAGGACAGGAAAAGAGCCATGGCTGTCCAGAAGCAGGGGAATCGCCACTGGTGCAGAAGGGTCTGAATGCTGTCCCTGGGAGTCTAGGCAATGGCGCAGGAATGGTGCCATAACCCTCAGGTGATGGTGGGCACAGCCACAGGGCAAGGGGAAGCCGGGGGGAGGAGGGATTCCTTCTTCCACAAACCCTGAAACGCCACCTCCAAAGCAGAGTTGAATGTCCAATGCCTGCATACGAGGCGACTGTGGTTTGATGTCTGATTTATCTTAACAGCAGACCCTGGCAATCACAGGAAAAGATGAGGGGAAAAAAAAATCCATAAACATGCCTGAAGCCTTCCTGTGCATCTGTCAGCAGACAGGCAGAGGGGGTTTCGAGCGGCATAAATAAAAGTGCTTCAAGAAAGGAAGAAAAGGGAACATGCTGAAACCCAAACCTTCAATGCGTAACAAAATACAGACAGATGCAAACCATCCCATAGCAGCGGGTGGATGGCCACATGCTCTGGCTGCACAGGCTCCCAGGAGGGAACATAAACATGCAATCAATCTGAACGAGCTGCCAGGCTGAGTCCAGCTTGCAGGCAAGCAGCTCGCCCGTGGCGCCAGGTCCAGTAGAAGAAAGGCCGTGATGATTTGCGACTGGCTCAGAGCCTGCTGTGGGAGAGACCTGCACAGCGTGGCACCGGCAGCCATTCATTGCCTTAGGAATGTTTTCCAGGTGCCCAAGGCTTTGTGATGCCTCCTGCCAAAGCTCAGCTGCAGCTCCAGTGCTGAGCTGCAACCCCCTGCGTGGCCACGGTAAACCTGGCCTTCATTTTGGTGTGAGCTGGTGAGCAGCGCTGCCTGCCTCAAGGATGGTCATCGGGCTTCTCTCTGCTGCTGCTAAGACACAGGGAGCCCATCTTCAGCCCATCTCCATTCTCATACCCAGCCCCATTCCCATTTCCAGCCCCCAATCCTGATCCCCAAAGGCTGTGTCCACGTATGTGAGGCAGGACAGACGGCCACGGCTTCTACTGCCCGTGAAGGTCGGGAGAGAGTGTGTCCCTGGGAAGCAAACCCAGCTCCAGCTCCAGCTGTGATCCAAGCACGCATTATGGAAATCAGGCTGTCTCCTGATCCCATCAAAGCAGAAAGGATCAAATGCTGCCAGGCAGAGAGCTGGAACCAAGGGCTCCGTGGTGGATGCTGCACTGTGGGGCTGTAGGGCAGGTCTGTGTCCCACATCCCATCTGCAGCCAACCCCAGCACTCACATCACAAAGAAGCTCCTCAGAAGACAATGTGGATGAGGAGCAGATGGATTCCAGGCCCACCTCGAAACCCCCACTGAAAAGGAGCATTTCTCAGCTTTGGCATGCAGCCCCATCCTGCTGCTGCTTCTGCTTGGTGTCAGGAAAAAAATCCAAACCGAGCCTGAATCACTCCCAGCCCGGCCAGGATGCTGTGCACAAAGTGCTCATTTCCACCGCTTCGCTGGGAGCCTTCTTATTTTAGCACACGCTGCCGCAGACTGAGATCTCTCCCGTTAACTGTCACAAACGACCTTACGAGATTAGGGCCGGTAATCTTCCGATCTGTTTAATCTTCCTCCGGGGATTATTCGCACAGCTCCGCTCCTCGCAGCCGCAGAACCGCAGAACACCCCGAAATGGAAGGGATGACCGAACGCAACCCCCGGCTCCACACGGGGAGCCTCGAAATCAGAGGTTTTTGAGAGCCCCGTGTTTGAAAGCCCCGGCCTCCGGGGCAGAACCTCACCCCGACACCCACGCGAACCGCCCCGCCGCAGCCCCGCGCCGCTCGGTCCATCAGCGCGGAGCGGAACCTCCGCGCCGCTCCAGGCGCAGCCGGGCCACGCGGCCGCCCCGCAGCGCCCCCCGTCGAACCGCCCGGCCGTTTCCCGCAGCGGCCGCACGGGGGCGCTCTGCCGCCCTCCGCGGAACTCCCGAACGCAGCCGCTGCAGCCGCCCGGCGGGGAGCGGAGAACGGACGGAGCGGCGCCGGCCGCCATGGCGCGGGATCCGGCCTTCGTGCTGCGCTACCTGGCCGAGGTGGAGGAGCTGGCCGAGGACGTGCTGGCGGCGCGGCAGCAGGTGAGGCCCGGTCCGGCTGACGGCTCGGCGCCGCCCGCCCCCCCCCCCCCCATCCCTTCCCCTCCTGTCTCTCTGCAGATCGTCGATCTGGACGTGAAACGGAACCGGAACCGCGAGGCGCTGCGGGCGCTGCGCAAAGACCCGGAGCCCGAGGGTGATAGCGGGAGCCCCGCGGGGACCGGGGCGGTGTGCGGGGGGCGGCGCTGAGCCCGTCTGCTTCTCGTCCGCAGGAAAAGCCATGGTCTGCTTCGGGAGCACGTTCATCGAGCTGCCCAAGGCCAAGACCGAGGAGATGCTGCAGAAGGGTACGGCGGGCTGTGCCCGGCGCTGGCCGTGATGAGGTTTGAGCTAAAATAGCCCCCGGGTCTGCGCTGTGCGCCGCTGCCGGCCCGCCCCGCACGCACTCCTGCCCCGGGTCCTGCGGGCTCTCTGTCGGTCCTCTATTCAACCCCGGTCCCCCTTATTCCTGCTCTGCTATTTTCAGATCAGGAACATCTGGATGAGGAGATAAACAACCTCCGGAAAGAGCTGCGTGTGAAGGTCAACCGCCTCTATGAAGCTCAAGGTAAACATTGCTGGTCTTGAGCCCCGCAGCAAAGGTCTGGCAGCAGAAAGTCAAAATCTGGGGCTGCTCTTCCTCTCACTTTGAAATTCCCTCCCTGCTCCGGCAACAACGCGTTGCTGCAAAGCTGTCACCCAGCAGCGTGCTGAATGCATGCAGCAATGACCAGGTTGGACATTAGGAAGAGTTTGTTCTCCAGAGGAGCAGCGATGCAGTGGCACAGCTGCCCAGGGGGGTTGGTGGGATCGCCGTCCTTGGAGGTGCTCAAGAACTGCAGAGATGCAGCACTGACAGACGTGGTCAGTGGGCACAGTGCAGTAGGTTGGGGTTGGATTTGATGCTCTCAGGTTCTTTTCTTTTCCAACCTTCACGATGCTGTGAGAACAAACTGCCCTGCCCACGTGGAATGCTTCACGTGTTTCATAGCAGAATCCCGACGTCCTGCACACTCTCACAGGTAAACCTGAGCTGAAGGGATTTAACCTGAACCCCATGACGCCGGAGGAAATGAAACTCATCAATCGCATCCTGGAAGGCTGAGGCAGCTGTGCCACCACAACTGTGTGCAAACACTGCTCAGGGTGCTGTGGCTGGGGATCACTCACAGTGTTTGCACTGCATCAGCCGCAGCATCCAGGATTTCCAGCACTGCTGTGCTGCTGGAGCCTCTCATAAAGAGCACGGGGAAAGATGCAGCTCCTCAGCTACAACTCTTCTGGCTGTAAACTCTCCCTGCTCCTTGCTGAGGATGGTGGCAGAGCAGTGCAGAGGCAACTGCTGGAACAGTGGCTTATTCACAGCCTATGACAAACACCCGCTTGCAAGGGGGATTATTAAAATCAGCACTGTTGGGCATTCCTAACTGTGTGTGTGTGTGTTTGTTGTTGGGTTTTTATGTGAGAGCTTCTGTAGTTTGGCTGCAGAGCTGCAGTTCACTGTCGTGTCAGGGACAGGAGTAGGAGGAATTGTAAATCTACAGCGTGCCCAGAGCATAGAAGAGCTGTGTGTGCCTGTGGTATTAAAACAAAAATGAAACTATACATCTGAAACATGTCAGGAATCTCCTGAAAGATGTGTAGGGAGGAACAGAAGAAGGCAGCATCCTGTTAGACTTAATGGGAAAACAGTCTGCTGTCAAGGTGGGAGCCAAGAGAACACAGAAAATGAGGCTTTCAAAACAGGATGAAAGAATAAAACATAGATATATAAGCAAAAAACCTGCAGCTTGAAGAGCTGGGACTTGGCCTGCAGTAAAGGGTTAATTGTTTTAAGTCATAATAGTTTCTTCAAAGGTTGTAAAACTTACTGTCTCACACACTACCCTCTTCATCCTGGAGTTGCTACCCCCATACAGGCTGGGTAAGACCACAGCAAGACTTGTGAAAGTTTATCACAACTGTCAGCATACTGCAGTGAGTCTCCTTTCTACAAGTTCCTGCTCTTCCCCTTCTGGACTTCTGTAAGATTGTTTAAATGGAATTTAAAGACTTCAAACACTGCAGTTGTCCCCGTGTCACTGGCTCTCCTGGTAGCTCATCTGCTCTCCAGGAGTAAGTTAGAGATGCAAAGACTGCAAGTAATGTTAACTTAGTCTCTGAGGCACCTTACAGCTGCTCTGGAAGTGAGTGGCAGTACATTGCCAAATGCCTGTGTTCTAACTGCACTCTTACATAACCTGCATGGTACAGCCAGGAAATGTGTCTAACATGTGATGGCAAGGTTATTTTTACAGTATCATGGCAACAGGTTTTATGATCTGACATGTTTCCATAGTAGTAGCAGCAGAAGGATTAGGTGTCTGCCTTCCCCAAAAGCTTTGTTTTGCTGGTCAGAACGCGTTCAGCTGCTTTATTTTCTCATGCTCTATGCAGAATGCAGGTGGTCAGCTGAGAAGCCAGCATCACCTGCGAGTGCCTTGTCAGACACTGCAAAATACTTCATGCAAGCCTGTCACAGCTTCCCAGCTGGGGAAGCCTTCAGGAACAAGGAGGCCAACTATGCTGGGCTGAGGCAGAGAGAAATGTGAACTGCTGCTACACAATAGGAGGAAGAGAGACCATGAACTTTATCTACAGCGATCTCCCAACCCGAGCTTGAGATCAGCCTCACACTGTCTGCTGCACAGGAAGATTCCCAAAAAGCTCTTCCAGTTGTTTCTTCCTGTCATTGAAGCAGCCTGCAATGAAAACAGTAAGAGGGGAGGTGCCCAGGCCCTTACCTTCCACCTTTCGTGAGCACAAAGGGCAACTGCCCACTTTCAGCTGAAGCTGTATTCACCTTTTATTTAGGAACTACACTCAGTGGTGACTGTAGGCATACAAATAACCTCCAGACACGTGTTGGCCTCTCAGAAGGATTCTGAAGTCATACAAGCACTACTTCATGGTATTAAGAGGAAAAAAAAGCACAGCCAGCTGTAGGGGAGTGCTCAGCAAACATCTACTGCAATGGCTGTAGATGAGATTTTCTGCCACGCTGACATATGAAGAACTGCAACAATTTAAAAGCTTGAAAAGCAGGGCTATAAACAATATTGTTTGTCTGCTGGATTTCAATAGCACTGCTGTAATTCTAGTTGCTCACATCCATGTTTGGAAAGCATGGGTTCCTTTTGGACTCCCGTAAGAGTCAATGTTCCCTGTTCTCTTGTTCCTGAGTGACAGGGGTGTGCTCTCCTGTGCTGAGGGAGGGACGTAAGCAGGGCACCATGCCTGCACTGGGTGAGCACATACCTAAGTGTGTGTTTGCCATGAAGTTCCCATTCACCAAAGCACCCAGGTTTCCTCCTCTGCTGACAGGCCCATCGTTCCATATCAGGTCAAAGCCACCAACACGTTTCTCCTTCCCAGTCAGCCTACAACATCAGATACAAGTACTGAAGTACAGAGTGCTGATGATAATCTTACCTGCACGCAGGAATAAACTTCCTGGTCAGAGATAAAGCTGAACAGCTGGAAGCAGTGGGCATCTTTCTACTACAAATATCCAAAGCTGGCACAGTTGTAAAGTCAATCACAAAATGATGCAAGACTGGCTTCTTGGAACAGATCACTCCAGAAGCAATGAGTGTGGGAGGCACAATGCAGAAGGAGCTCTGAAGCAGTTCTTGTGCAAGTCCCAGCTCTAACACCGACTCCATTTCCTTCACAGCACTGCGTTGCTTTGTTTTCTCCACTCTGAAGCAGAGATATGCCTGCTTGCTTTGCCCAGTCTCTGGAAATTCATTATTTAACAGCTATAAAGCTCAGCACCTTCCAATCAGTTGCCAAGACAAGAGTGTGTGTGTGTGTGTGTGTGTGTGTGTGAACACCTTCACACAGTAATAAAAACCTTTAGGGGGTAATAAGCATCTTTGCCCACCTGCCCTCCATGTCCACAACATGAAGTGTGTCTTCAAGCAGGTGACACTTGAGCTCATAGTCCTCCTGGCTGCTGGCAGCAAGGGAAGGCGACGCATTTACCTCCAGAAGCCAGCTGAGGAGACAGAGCACTAAGTTAGGGAGAAACAGGCACTTTCACCCATGGCTCATCTACCAGAAACGCCTGTCCACAAAAACACCACACTGCCAGCAGGCTGGAGTAAGTGTGAAGCAATAGGAAATCCAACCCCAAATCTCTTTCCCGCACGCTGAGCCAAAGAACATTCTGAGCTTATTGCAAAGTTTCTATTCCTGCTCTCGATGGTAATAAAGAAAAAATCCCTCCAGCATCAAGAAAGACATGCAAGTGAAAACCAAACTCTAGAGAAAGCAGTAAACATTGAGGACAAATCACAGAAAAAGCACTAACCCATTTTCGGTGCAGGAATGCAGAAGTGTCCTGGGAACAGTTTGACAGCACAACAGTGTTCAAACAGCCCTCCTAGAGAGCCACAGAAATGAAGCAAGCAGCAGGAGTGGCATCCAAGCACTGCAATATCAATGACTTTCAGTCCAGTCCACCACTCAGATTTGTTTTCTAACCAGTTGAAGTCACTCCAGCTCCTTCAGTGCAGGCAACCTCCACAATACTTTGGTCTCAGGCTCTGCACTGAGTGGATGGCACAAATTAGAGCTATCCAGGACCACAGCTGAGCTGCATTTCTTTGCTCATTGCAAGTAAAGCTGTCCCCAGTGGCACCACACTAGATGCTAACAGGACACGTGGCTGTCACAGGTAAAGCAGCTACAAAGAGCATAAATCTCAGGGATATGTCCTTACCTATGGTGCTACTTGCATTTCATGTAACTGAGGCTGCAAGAAGAATCCAGCTTGTCATTTCTGAAGCACTACTTGCTGTTGCTATTTCTCTCAACTCATGTAATGACAAGTTAGTTGCACTTTCAGGTTCCTGCTGTTGCAATACTTGGGTTGCACATTGTAGCAGATAAAAACTGGAGAATTTCAGCTGAACTTTGAGTCATATTTTTCACTTAAACTGTGAGAAGAGCTATACTTAAAACATTTAAGTACAGCCAGATTATGTTGTAAAGTCCTGGAGGTTTTGTTGTTTCTGTTTCTTTTAAACATCCTCAATCCCTACACAGCCTCTTTCTCCACAATTAACAGGAGGTGCCTCTTTCCATTGGGGTCTCCCATCGTAACACAGACCCAGGGGATGTGTTTTATGCTAGCAGCCTCATGGTGGTGGCTGGACATCCATCACCACTGATGGGACACTGCTGCGATACACACAGCAGGAGAAGAGATGCTAGCAGCCCTCCTGTCTCATAATTGCTGTGACACATCAATGTTTGAGGGAACTTATCACAGAAATAACCAAAACAGCAGGTTTTCACAACACAGCACAGGAGATTTCACAACGTTACATGCTGCTGCACCCCATGTTCTGAACAAGAACAGCTGCATTCCTCACAGATTCCAGCTTCCTAGGTGCAAAACCTCCCTGTTTCACTCGCAGTTCCTGGACTGGTTCACTCGCAGCCAGCCTGCAGGCAACTACCTTCAGGATGCAGAAGTGTCCCCAGACATCCCCACCATCCCAGGGCAAGCAGCTGGCCTGACACTAGAATCCCTTCCACGTTCATTAGTCCCCTTACGGCTTCAGGTGCTGATCAATCAGGATGTCGTAGCCATAGAGCTCGAAGCAGCGCTTGTCGCTGATGATCACTTTCTGAACGCTCTGGAGGCTCTTGATGAAAATGTTGTCCATATCCGCAAAGAGAACTTCCACCAATCCTGCTCCATGTTTGGCAGTCAGGTACTGCCTGAGCTGCTGAATCATCCACTTGCAGCCCTGAGACATCCAAACACGATTATATACAAGCTGCTCCCAACAGATGAGCACACATTTAACCTGTGTGATTTTTTCTTTTCCAGTCACCCTACAGCCAAGCAAGAATTCTTAGTAAAAACCCAGAGACCAGAAGGTAAGGGCTGCCAACTCCACAATGCAATTAAGCAATTCATGTTTGATTATTTTGTCTACAAAGGAGAGGAGGAATTTTAAAAAAGCCTCCAGGTCCCCATCAGAAACTCTCAAAGAGCAAATCATCATCTTCTGTCAGGATACTGCACAGACCCTCCTTTCCATACTGAATTTATAGAAGGGAACAGCCTATAGAGTGGGAAGCTCAACTACCCTCAGATGTTGACTCTGATCTCACATCTGCCATGAACCTGACATCTCATTTAAGATCTTCTCCCTCTTTCAGCTGCCACCTCTTCCAACAGGATGGTGACAGTTGTGTGTAGCAATCATAGCCTCGTTGTAACACTAAAGCCTTAAAGTGAAGGACTAAGCTACAGATAAATGCTTAAGCAGAATAATACGCTTATTATTATATATCAGATAACCTCTAAGAGCTTTCTGCCTAAGTGTTTAAGTCACAAACATCAGCCTTCCAGATGAGCAGACAGCTG